ATCAGTCCTTCTCTTCATTAAACTAGATATATCTAATTCCTGCAACCATTCTTTATATGTTTTAGCCTCCAGTCCTCTAATCAACTTTGTTGCTCTTCTCTGCACTTTTATAGAATCTCAACATCTTTTTTACATGTGGTGACCAAAACTGGATGCACTATTCCAAGTGTGGTCTTACCAAGGCATTATAACGTGGTGCTAGCACTTCATGTGATCTTGGTTCTATCCCTCTGTTAATACCTTCTCTGAAAACTATAGACTCTGACCAGAAAGACTACATAAAATATCAGAAAGGTATGCATAAACCTTTCAGTTCTGTAGAACTCTCTATCAGGCAAGAAATTACAAAAACTATTATCTCCTTTCCAGATAATGGAAAGGAGAAATACAATTGAAGTTGAACATGGCTGCATGTTAAAAGACATGATAAACAGTTCTGGGGAACTCAAAAGCTTGAATATATGTTTGTGTTAATTTAATTGGTGCTAACAAAGTGATTGTGATCATCCAGTTATGAGTTCTGTTTATCATCCTTTCTTGCTTTCATGGATTAATATGATTCAAGTACTTTTTTTAGTCATTGGAGGCTTATTTGGAGAAGGGCAAATGAAGGCAGGAAATAAAGGCTTTTCAGAAATGTGATTAATATATCCCTTAGTAGCACTCATTTTCAGATAATTTCACCATCAGTGCTAACATATATTATCACATTAATAAGCTCTCCATTTTTACTCATATATTTATTTCTACATATTTATATAGCAGCTATATCACAACAATGACTAGGCAGTGCTCAAGAGGTTAAAACCAAAAAATTATCAATTAACATCCAAAATAATATGCCTGGGATCTGTTTAACTCAATGAAATCAATGAACTAGTTAGGGTTGGTTTAAACTTCCTGGGGGACTATCCAGATCTTTGATGCCCTATGAAATGCCAACAGGGTTGGGTCATCCAAATCATCACGGAACACTTCAATAGAGCAGACACTGTGACAGAGAAGGCAGTTTTGTTTAATAAAGAAATGCAATATATTTATATTGTACCTACTGAAAGGAATATGGTACATTTGGGTAAGGAATATATTATATAACCTCCTAAATGTTCAGTTGGACAAAGCTTCTTAAAGAGTGGCTTAATTTCATGTAATTGTGAGTGTTATAACGTTAAGCAGCTGTTTAGTAGATGCATTCATCTACTAAATAGCTTGAATTTTAATAATAGAAGGTAGATACAATTATCGTCTTTTTCTGTAATTAAATGGTGCAATCTTGCAAGCAATGGTGAATTTTGCATGTTTTTTCAGAACTGAACCAACAATCTATTTTTTTCCCCATAATGTAACATATACTTTCATTACTACTGTTTTCCCTGAAAATAAGACCCGGTCTTATATATTTTTTTTGCCTCCAAAAGAGACATCAGGTCTTATTTTCGGGGGATGTCTTACCTGCTTACCTTAGGATCACCGTAGCCAGGCCTCTCATGCTCCAACATCTGTCGTGCTGCTGCCAATTGCTGTAAGACACCTGAGGCTTTTTGCGCCAATCATGCCGCTACCACCGGTTGCGGCAAGACGCCATGTGGCTTGTTGCGCCAATTGCACCGGTGCCACTGGTTGCGGCAGGAGGCTGCGAGGCTCATCATGCCAATCATGCCGGTGCTGCCACTCACAGGAGGACATGAGGCTCACTGTGTCGATCGCGCCCACTCGTGATCACCGTGACAAGCCTCGTGGCCTCCTGCCGCAAGCAATGGCACTGGCGCAATTGTCACAATGAGCCTCGTGGCCTCATGCCATAACTGGCAGCAGCGGTGCAATGTGCCATGTGGCCGCAAGTAGCCGCAGAAGAACTCAAGCAGTGGTACGATAGGTGTCAGGGCGCAGGAGGCCTGACTGCAGCGGTCCTAAGGTAAAGCAGGTGCAGAGCAAGTGGGGCAGCTCCACACCCCCCACAACCACCCTACCTTGGTTTTTCCGCGTGTGCCTCGCCCCAAAACTAGGGATTATTTTTGGGGTAGGGTTTATATTGGGCGCACATGTAAAAATCAAGCTAGGACTTATTTTTGGGATAAATCTTATTTTCAGGGAAACACAGTATATGTCAGCAACATGTTGTATATGTTTAAAATGAGAGCTATTATCTTATCTGAAAATGAACATTTCTTATATAAAGAAATAATATTCACATAAAATATGACTATATTAACTGAACAGCAAGTCTGAATAACATAGCATATCTAATACTAAAATCATATCTGAATAAGAAAGATTTTTAATCAGAACTACTCTGCATAAATTCGATGAAACTCCTTATACAAGACAAGACTGATAACAGACATTGGGGTTGATTATAGCTATGATCCTGCAACTTTAGTCGGAACTATCAAAACCCACAATCCTATTCCAGCTTAAAAAAAAAATACTTCTCTGAATGCCCACACAGACTTGGTTGAGTAGCAAATAAGTTACCCACTCATTTTGCTTAAGTGTCTAATCTCTACACCAGTTCTGAGGAAAGAGCCTTATCATAATCACCTAACAATATGCTAAGCAAAAACACATGAAACAGCTAAGGGAAAGTGTGCAGAGGTCTTTATCAAATAGAAAACAGGTGCTGTAGTTCTCAGCCTTATAATGCCCCATTTACCCCCAAGTCAAAAGGTTACTGAATTAATAGCTGCCTTGTGGTAATCGGGGAAAACTAAGTTACTCCGTGTGGCTAAACATCTGGGACATATTTTATATCCTTGCAATATATGCTTCAGTTTCAATTAAAGTGAGGCTTTGGCACATTTATTAATTTTTTTATGTTTATTCTATAAGAGGACCCACTGACCTCACTTTACTATTTTAGCAAATGAGAAAACAGAACAATACTGAGAGCTAGAGGTCAACATCAATCACCGTAGCAGAATTTACATTTGTTTTTTCTCAAAACTCAAATTATATATTCATTTAAAATGGAAGTAGTTAAATCACTTATGATTTAGTCTAGTTTACAATATACAGAAAATACTCAACTGAGAATGTTCTTTTCGAAAAATATTGTTAAGTCTACTTTGAAAAACAACCCATTGCCAAACTATTCATTATAAATCTTTCCATTAAATATTGTGCTACATATCTATGGACATATAATCATTTTATATAAAAATTATTCATGAACATTCAGTTTCCATGTTAAAAATATACTTATTTATTGTAGATAATCACCCATATTTGTTTAGCATCAATAGTTCAATTTAAAAGTGTTTGGAATTTTACAAAGTGATTCAGATTGCCAATATTAAATATTGATATAATTCCAGATGTTAGTTTTTATATAAATTATTATTACTATCCTCATTTTTTTATACAAACAGTGAAATATGTTGATTTATTAATTAGTAACCAAATAAGGCAACTCCTTTAAATACTATCAGGATTTTCTTAAGCAAAAGTAAATTAAGAATACACACACACATTTACATGCAAATACAGCCACACATATAAATCAGAGAGAGGAATAGGTAGGTTGTCTAGTTTAAAGAGATTTTCTAAAAATACAAAAAATTGATAATGAAATACCCCCAAGTGTTAAAAAAAAGTTCCAAATTGATAGCAGAAGGACATTTATCAGAGGAAAAATGTTTTTGTGTTAAAGCTCACTATGCTATAGGGTTGACCTTCGTGATAAATCATGTGTTCTATTGCTAAGCATTTTGTATTGAAAACAGCACATATGGCTTTGCATGGAAGAAATTTAGGTGTGACATTATTTCATGATTGCAGCTGTTATCAAAATCATTAAAATATATAGAGAAAAAAGTAGCATCATGTATTTGCTGAATGTGAAATAATAAAGATATTCAGAGGTTCGTCTTTCAAAACATGTACCTTAATTGTTCTGAGTAAACTAATTACAGTACATTTTCCTACATGTCAAATGTTTTCTGGCTGCCAGCCTAAAATTCCTGTAGTGATATAGAACTGTAGGCCTCTACTAGCAACAAAGGTCAAAGGCATATATTAAGTTAGGGGTTTTTTTTCCACTGCTGTTCAAAAAACCGTTGATGGTTTATTAAAAGAGTACGTGAACATTTATGAAGGTCAGCATTTTCTGCATTTAAATGGAACACGTTAAAATAATCTGAATATTTCATTCCCTCAATATCTTCATTTTAAAAGTTCTTAAAAGACATTTATCTTGCTGCACTTTTCTTTCCCATAAGCCAGCCCTGCCAGCTACCATCACAGTCTCTTTCTTACAAGGTCATTCTAATTTCCTCTCTATGCGTCTTCCTTCTTCTCCAGGGACAGCCTTGCAGTCCTATTGCTTGCTTCAATAACCAGTATTAACTCGCTGTTATTTACTGTGGTGGAAATTCTCAGCCCAAACAGCAACCTAGGAACTGAGCAATATTCTCAATGGCTGAAAGAGCAACCAGTCCCTTAGACTGATGCTGGGCCACACAATGCCAATCCCAAATATATCGATAAGAGGCGGATGAGAATTGTGATTATTTAAATATCTTACAGAGTGCAACACACGTCTTCTACCAAGTAATTCTCAGAAAATTACCGATGGCAATAGACTACTTTCAAACAGTATGGTATTTCTATTTTTACAACACTCCTCCCACCTGGAGGTACAGCCCTATTTGAAATACTCCAGAGAGGACACATTTTTGTCCTTCAAAAACAATTGTCACTGCACTTTTCTTCACAACAGCTATCAAGTTCCAGACAGGCTGAAATATATTTGTTCTTGAAAGAAAGAGGAAAAAATGGGCCAGCTCTGGACAAAAACATGATGTGGTGGGGGAGGAAGGGAGGGAAAGGGAAGGAAAGGTTTATAGATCTTTAATATTTTCTATAACACACCATGGTATTGCTAAGATGATAAACAGCTCTGCACCACAAAACACTCCCGTTCCTTTTTAACTATCTGCAAAAGCAGAGTTGTGTCTACATTCTCCCATCCCTAGGTATCAAGTGCCAGGAAAGATAATTACCTTGTCATCTCTGTCATCATCTTCTTCCTCGTCCTCTAGCATGTCCTCCATCACCTCCAAGCATAAAGAGTAGCAATAATCAAGAGTTTAAAAAGGAAATATTTGTTTCTTTAACCTTTTTGTAGTTAGGTTTTTTTTTAATGTGCAAAAAAATTACAACACATAGTTGATCTGGAAACAAAGCTTTAATATACTATGTAACATATTATGAAGCATGTACAAAAGTAGATAGCTATGTTTTTAAACACACACCCCTATGTCTTCTGGCTGCTACCAACTGATTATATCAAAGAATATCAAATTTTAACTGTAATTACTCAAAATAATTTAATCTTTGTTCCAATTAAACACAATTCCTATCTTATAGTCCTTACAATCCTGCCTTGCAATCTGTGATTAATCAAAAGCAGAGAATTTGAGAGCTTCTAAACTTATCACCGTGGCTGTACAAAGGAGGTAAGCAGGACGAGAAGTTTAGAAGCTCTCTTCTTCTTAATTCTTAATTCTTTTTAATTTTGCAGGAATACAATTAATGTTGCAAAAAATGCTGAAACAATTTATGATGTCATGTTTCAAAACCTCAGCCTTTTGTATTTGCATCAATCCAGGACACAGGTACATGAATCCTAGAGTTGTGTCATGACGTGTTTTGTTGTTTATTCCTCCTTTCTCTCCCTATTAACACCTATGCATATTTTATCAGTTTATATTCAGAGCAAACCTAAATATTTGTTACTGGATTTATTTCAACCAGATGCAGTTGCAACTTTTGAAGTCAGGAGCAGAAAAACAGAGTTAGAAGGGACCTTGGAGGTCCTCTAGTCCAACCCTCTGTTCAAACAGGAGACCCTAGACCATTCCAGAAAAGTGGCTGACCAGTCTCTTCTTAAAAGCCTCCAATGATGGAGCACCCACAACTTCTGAAGGCAAGCAGTTCCGCTGGTTAATTGTTCTCACTGTTAGAAAATTTCTCCTTAGTTCTAGGTTGGTTTTCTCCTTAATTAGTTTCCATTCATTGCTTCTTGTCCTGCCTTCAGGTGCTTTGGAGAATAGGTTGACTGCCTTATCTTTGTGGCAGCCCCTCAAATACACAAACACTGCTATATGTCACCCCTGGTCATTAGACTAGACATACCTAATTCCTGCAACTGTTCTTCATATGTTTTAGTCTCCAGCCCCCTAATAATCTTTGTTGCTCTTTTCTGCAGTCATTCCATTATTTAATTTTTCACTCTTTCTTAATTTAATGCCAACTTTAATGCAAAGCTGAGGTGCCTCCCCCCCCAAGGCCTGGCCAAATCCCCCTTAGACAGCCTTGCAGAGAACAGCTGTACCTTCCTACTTCCTAAACAGGCAGGCCGTTAGTTTACCATGGAGGATTTGGGCTGGCGTACCCCCCTCTAATTACAGCCACCTGTTGCTCAATGCAGCCTCAGCAACACCTACTGTTGAGTCACCCAAGTCTCAACCTATGGGACGGCTGAGTGGCAACATCCAAGCATCCTCACGGGGTAGACCATCCCCAGATGGATGCCTGCTGGGGGTTACCAAAGCAGAGAGAAGGAGGGTTGAGGGATGCATTCCAGGCAGGCACCCACCCAGCCCTGGGGACAGGATAATTAAAGCGTGACCCTGTCACTCTCTTCTGAACAGAAGGCAATGGAGCTCACAAGCTGAGCAGAATCGGATTGCGGATTCTTAATGGATTGTGTTAAGAAAAGGCAACTGGCACATGAGGGGAAAGCCGGTGATGCACTTAACGTGGCACTACTCTGAAAAACTAATACTCCTGTGGGCACATTTTAAGCAAATTGCAGAGGGAGTGGGACTGAGCAACAGAACTGTCCAGAAAAGTAGCAACCAAAAGAGATGGAAGGGAAGGAAAAGATTGGGAAGGGGATACGGTAGCCCCATTCAAATGCGTAAGCGTGTCAGGACCACTTTTCCCGAGGAAAAGATGCATCTGAATGGACTTCAACAGAAAGCCAGGAGAAAGCCAGTCCTAAAAGCCAATAAACTTTTAGAAGAAGGTGATGTAAACTGATGACATTGATATAAAAACGTTAACTTTGTCTTCAGAATAAATGAAATTAATTTATTAATTTAACAATACATTTGTTTCAGGCACATTGATTGTCTAGAGAATTTTCAGTAAGGGTTAGTTACAATCACCCTGGTGATAAGAGACATAACTCAGGAATTAGAGTATTAACCCATATAATTTTTTTTGGCCCTATCGAAGTCTTGTTCTGAGCTGACATCAACAAGGTTAGTCATACAGCTCTGAATCCATTATCTATTTTATGTTAAAGAGACATACATTTTCTTTGCAATATCCTATTATTAAAATATCAGGAACTGTGGATTTGTGGATTTGTGGCTAAAAGGATTGCTGTCAACATTGGAAGGAAAAATCTACTACAATGTTTGATTTGCAGCAGTAGAGTGCTGGTATTTGTTAACATTTGAATATATTTTTCCAACAACACGGCAAGGAAAAAGGAACTTAAGAAATATTATTGAAATGCTTGGAGTTGTTATTTTTATCTCAGCCTCTCTGCTTTTACACTTTTTTTAAAGTTATGCTTAATCATTTTGAGGTTTATGAACCCTTAAATCAGTGGTTCTCAACCTGTGGGTCGGGACCCCATTTGGGGTCGATCGACCATTTCACAGGGGTCGCCAAGCAAGGCTGTCCGCCATTTTTTCCCCCCTTTTCCGGCGGGTGCCTTACCTCCCTTGGGCTGGGCCAGCTGGTGGTCGGCCTGCTCCATCTCTGCCGCTTGCCAGCTACGCCTCGGCTGGCGCAGGGGGCGGAACCACGCATGCGCGGCGCTCCCGGGCAGGAAAAGTCCTCGACTTATGACCGGTTGGGTAGTCCTTGACTTACAACCGTTTTAGTCCTTGACTTACGACTGGTTTAGTCTTTGACGTACGACCGGTTTAGTCCTCGACTTACGACCGGTTGGGGTCGCGGCATTAAAAAGGTTGAGAACCACTGCCTTAAATGTTGTTACATGTATTGTATATGTTGTTTTCTTCTGTTATGCAATTTAGGATTTTAAGTGGAATCCAAGTATGTGTGTGTCCAAAATGGCAGGATTACTGATGGAGAATTGCAATTTTCAATGTGTGTGCAACAAATATAAGTCCATCTTGCATTTGCAGATGTTGGTTTTTCATTGGCGATAGCCTGACATGCTTGCATCTCCCAGCTTCTCTTTTCAAATGGCCTAGCTCAGGCAAAGCAATGGAATGCAGCTCTGCTGATATGAAGCCATGCCACTTAATGTGCCAGCATTCTTTACACTCAGCAATGGTTAAAAAAAATTACAGGTCGTCCTCATTTAACAACCACAATTGGGACTGGCAACTTGGTCATTAAGTGAAGTAGTCACTAACTGAAGCCACAACTGTATTTACTTACTTCAGCTTTCCTTTGCTTTGCAGGCCTGCATGCAAGGATTCATTGTAAAGTTACTTTTTATCACCATCCTAAGTGTGATTGTTCATTGTATGAGGCAGTCACTAAACAAGGACTACCCGTACTGAGTGTATTTTTGTTGCAGATGGAAAGGAAAAAATGGGGGTAAATGTGAGTACAGTGAGAATATACTGCAGATACAAGAGCCACTCACATGCTTGTACTCCTAAACATTCTACAAAAAAAAGCCAGTGGGTACAAAAGAAACCCTGATATATCATGTACATTTTGGCAGTCTAATACATTGTGTTAAAACATATCCTGATATATTAATTAAAATTATATTTTCATTCTAGCGATGTTTTTCCAATATCCCACAATACTTCCCTTAGAAATTCAAAAGGCTCCATAGGTTTACCATAGATATGGATTTTAATGTAGCTCCTAGTGGTGGTAACGTTGGAACAGGAATGAAATATTTATATTTTTAACTATAAATACTAAAGCAGAATCTGGAAATGCTTCATGAATCCCAGGGCTTAAGTTAGGAAGCAGTCTATTACACACAGTAACTTAAAACCTATTCTGTTATGTGAGAACCCAATCGCCCCTTCTGTTATCTTTGGTTTTACTTTCTGTTCAAATAATGTGTGTGCTATATAGATAACAATCATGTGGAAGTTTTAGATCATAGTATTTGCATGTTAAGTGTCTATTTTATTCCATAGTTGCTTGGTCTATTTAGATTTGTTTTCCAATTTTTGTTGGCCATTCTTAGTCTTTTGGATATATCATGTAACATAACATTTGAATAATTCATAAAAATATATAACAGGATAAACTTTCAGAAAATGGCTAGATATCTTCCATTAAAAAATTGCTGTCTGCATTTCACAAACTAATAGTATTAATCAAACAAAGGAAAGCACTAGGGAAATCAGATGCAAGCAGTTAAAAGTGACATGACCTTCTGTAATGTCACTTGTCACAGCTGTATATGCTGTATATGCCACATAAGAGGGGAAGCTACTTAACGACCTGATTTCAGGGGTAGATCCATGTTTAATATATGAATACAGATGACAATTAGGAGTCTGTGAAAGTTGACTCCATACAGTATAGTATATATATATATATGAGTTCTTTATTATGATTTCTATTTAATCTCACATTACACACTGTAGTTCATGAATTGCACTGTATTTACAAAACTATTTATTTTATAGTGTTCGGATTGCACACTACTATCCTCCCCCAAACTTTCAATCAAGCTATTTTCATATAACAAAAATACAGATTAGGCATCTGGTAACATAACCTATAAGTAGAGTTGATGCCTCCTTCCCTTTCTCCCCTTCTTTCTCCTATTCTTTGAATCAACAATAAGAACAGAACTGCATTCCAAATCAACATCTCTACTCTAAGCTACTAAAGGCATTTGGGTAGAATCTGGAGTTGATTCATATTCTTCCCGTTTGTCTCTGTACAATCAAAGCACAATATGTGTTTGTCATATCAGTTGATTTACAGGGCTTGTGTGTAATTATAAAATAAAATGATTAAATGTGCACAGTTTAAACAGAATACAGTATATAAAACTTCTCACATAACTTTAGGTCATGAGAAAGTA